TGGGAAGCTATGGTTCGTGGGTCTTGGTGTTGGGCTACCCTTCAGGAGCGTGAACGCGCCTCCATTTCCCCAACACTCGAACGTGTTCATGATGTGGCCATCGCACCTCGTGCTGTTCTGAAGTCCTAGCTGCATCACTCAGGGCACAGGTGATGTTTCTGTAGACCCCCAGGTCTAGGAGCGGAACTGCGGCTCGCGGTGGATGTTCGGCTTTGGTGCAGCTTCCTGTGAACCCTCCAAAGGACGAAGGCTAGCCTCGTTGGTCATTTCACTTGAATTGTGTTTAATTCATAGATAGTTTGGGGGATAACTGATGTCTTTATACAATACTGAGCTTTACAATCTATCATTCAGCCCCGGCAGGTGTGGCTCGGTGGATTGAGCACCGGCCTGCAAACTGAGAGGTCTGGGGTTCAATTCCCAGTCAGGGCATGTGCCTGGGTTGAGGGCCAGGTCCCCACTTGGGAGCACGCAAGAGGCAGCTGATCCATGTTTCTCTTGCACATTGGTGTTTCTCTCCCTACTTTCTCCCTCCCTTCCCCTGTCTCTAAAAGTAAATAAAATCTTTTAAAAAACCAAGCTAAGTATATCATTTATTTCTTTTCATTTTTACAAAGGTTCTCTACAAAGTGTTTTTATTTTAATCATCATGGTCTTGGGTACATATTTACGTAGGTTCAGTTCTAGTGCTTTATTATTGCCTGACATTTTGGGTGGTATTTTAAAATCTGTCCTGTTTACAGGATTCAGTGGGCGTATTTTGTTATCAGTTCATTCTATTATTTTGAGCCAGGGACCTGGCTCCAATTGTTCAAATTCTAATAACTTCTCTGGACATTGTTTGGGGCTTGATAATTTGAAAATTAATGAAGTGCACGGTTATCTTGTAAACGCTGTCTCCTGCACATTTTGGGTGGGGGTCCCATTTAGCTTCCTCCTTGGGTACCCCCACCCCAGCAGGGTAGGATGACCCCTCAACCCTTCTCTCTGCTTTTTTTGTGTCTCTCTGCCGCCCCCTTGTGGCCGTCCTGGACCCTGAGTCTCCCCAGCCGGTTCTCTGACCTTGCCCCGGTCCCATTTAGCCAGTGCTCCAATCCTCTTAGGGCGGGCCAGCCTTGGCAGAGCAGAGAGAATTAGATCAGATTTGGGGGTGTGGGAGTTCTGAAGGGAGTGCGGAGGGTGGGGGAGGGGCAGACGGCCTGCCAGGATGCAATGAAAGCCCCTCCCGCTTATCTGACAGACCCACGTAGGGTTGGACCCCGCCCCCCAACACACACACACACACACACACACACACACGGACGCACGCACACAGAAACCCACAGAAACCACAGCTCCATCAAACCCTGAGGTTGTAGGAGGGGCAGGAAGAAATGTAAGAATTTCCCACTTGTCCCCCGAGAGGGAACTGAGATCAGGGAGTCCCTGAGGACATCCTGGGGACAGGAGGGAGGAGATGAGTTTCACACCCACACCCTGGGCAGGCGGAGGAAGGGAGGGCCTCCAGATGCCCAAGGACCAGGAATGAATGGAAACCGGATTAGATTTTTGAACAATGGAGACAGTTTGCGGTAGTCCTGACTGGCTGAGTAGAAAGTGACTGGATTAAGTAGAACAGGGCCCCTTCCTTGCTCATTCTCTCAGTTCCATTTCACCGCTTTCCCCAGCTCCCTGCCCCCCACCCTCTCTCTGAGCCCGGGATTCTGTCATCTCCCAGGAAGCTCCACGCCAACTCGCCTCCTGAGCCCAGGCTGTGCCCTGAACCGTCCCCGATAGAAGCTCCTGGGCCTGCCCCTCAGCTCAGATCTGAGTTTCCCCATACCTGCGTCTTCCAGGGGAGTGCTGGACCAAGGATTTCTCTTTGCATAGCTGCAGCAAAATGAGTAAATAAGTTAATTAATTAATGGAAAATGTGCACCATCAGTCACATGGCTATCGGCTCGCTGTTGATCTTGCTGGCGCCTACCACGAGCCCTACACCCCAGAGTGGTCCATCTTTGGTGGTAACTGTGGTGGTCCTTGTAGATCTATTGGTCTCCATGGCATCCATGTTAAATATGTGAATCGGTGTGTTTTGCTCTGCAGAAAGTGAATCTTTTAGGCTCAGTGTGTATATGAAGAGAGTTCATTGTACCTTCAACAAATGGGTGAAGTTCAAGCTCAATGCCACTCTGGGTGCTCTGGGGTGGACACAGTAGCGGAGCGGGTAGAGGTATCCTTGCCTGGTGATGCTCAGAGAAAGGGGTGAAGGGTGTCAAACGGAAGTCCGGAGAGCCCAGGAGTGAGGGGGCAGAAGGGACCACAGGGGCCTCAGAATTCAACAGGCCTGAGTCACAGGAAATAGCTAGGGAACAGCATGGGATATATTGGGACCCAGAGATACGGGAGGTCCCATGGTCCAGGGGGAATGAGCATGGAGCAGATACTAAGAAGGCACCATATCCGAGGGGCCGGAGGAAGAGCCAGGCAGGGGATCAGTTTCTCGTTCTGGTTTCTATGGATCTCCATTTCTAGGATGCAATGATGGAAATTGGAGAAAATGGACACGGTAGCCCATTTTCCAGCAGCGACAAATGGCGTCTTTGAGAGGCACAGAGGGTGCAGTACTGAGGTAGACAGAATCCGGGCGCACTGGCTCCTCGGCCTGGTGAGAGGGGAGGCGGGCGTTGGACACGTCACCCGTCTTAACCCGAGTCTGCGCTCAGGAGCTCCCCATCCAAGCAGACAAGTTAGCTCCTGCCCCCCAGCTCCAAGTCCGCCAGGGCCTGCCAGGTCCCTCCCTAGAGCATGCGCACTGCAGAGGAAGCTTCAGGTCTAGCCACTTGCTTTCTCTCCGATCCCACAGGTCTCAACCTGGTCACCTGGCATTTTAACATTCTTATACCGCAGGCCACTTCAGCAGTGCCGCTGGGCGTGAGAACTGGGCACCAGTGTGTTCAAAGCTCCTGAGGGATTCATTCCAACATGCAAATCTCGGCCAAATCTCTGCTCAGGAGGAGATGGGCTTGGTAGACACAGTGCTGTCTTTCTTAAGACCACACCAAGACTTTATTTTGTGAAAATAAAATTCAAAATTGCTGTATCTGGGGGTCCCTCTGCAGAATCCACCAAAAGAAAAATCAAGTGCTATAAAAAAAAACATTTTAAAAATGTCTTAGAATGGAAATTTTAAAATGGATACATTTACTATAAATGTAAATTTATACATTTGTATAACTGGGCAGTAAATGGGCAGTAAATTATCTGCCCATAATTTTGTTTGTAAAAAAAATTAAAACCACTGTTGGACTCTGTACTTGAAATTCTGATATATAAAACGCCTAATAGAAAATATCCCTAAACTACTGGAGTTTTAAAATTGTTGTTACAGTAAACAACTTGCAAGCTGAGCTGGGTCAGATCAAAGATGTGGTTCGCTCAGGAGCACCCATAGGCCTGGGGGAGATCAGGTGTCCACATACCTGTTATAATGCCTCAAGGCCACCAGGGGGCACCAACATACCACGGCTCTGGAGCTGGGGCCCTTGGGTGGAATGGGAGAGACACTCCACATTCAAGTGGGAGAGAACACGCGGAGGTAACATTATATTTGTTTCTGTTAGTATAACTTAAAGCTTGTAGGGTAAGTGGAGGCAGTCTGGCTTCCTCACACAGATGCCTGGGAAACTAGGGGGAGCAGCTTCTCACAACCTTGAAGGAGTCTGACAGAGCAGTGTTCCCACAGCTTTGAGCCTGGGTCTCACGGCCTGCAGCCTGGGTGCCGTAAACTGCCCCTTAGCCTTGAGTAGGCGCGCATGCGCAGCTCACGCTAGGTGCGTTCGCTCTTTGTCCTGAAGCCGGCTGTGTTCGGGCCAGTACTTAAGGAGGTAGGGGCTTCTCACAGAGAGCGAGAGGGAGGTAGTCGGGGCGCCGACATAGACAGGGGGTTGTGGCCTGTGTGACTCCCGAATAAAGGCATGTCAAGCCCCCCCCCCCCCCCCCTGCCCCCGGCTCCACACATCTTCGTCCGTCTGTCTCGAGTGGACCTGCCCAGCCTAGGGAGGCTGCAACACAAAGCTGAAACCAAACAGCTAGAGAATGCCAATTCGGCAAGGATTTGGAACCATGTCGGGTGGGAATTTACATTGGAACCTGTTGCGCACATGTCTTTTGGACCCACAGTTCCAGTCCTGGGCATATACCCGGCAGAAATGTTCACCAAGAGACGTGCAGAAAGACACAGTCAAAGGCGCATGAAGGATTACAGCCCAAATTAGAAACTTCCCAGTTGCTCATCAACCATGTGATAAATAAAGTAAACTTTGGTACAACCACCCAATAAAATACTCTGTGTGAGCACAAACACTGAACATAAGATCTACCATCTTAACAAATTTTAGATGTACAATACAGTATCGTTAACTACGGGTACCATTCTACAGCCCGTCTCTAGAATTTACTCCTCTTGTGTCACTGGAACTTTGTACCCAGGGAACAGCAACCCCCATTACCCTCCCCCGACCCCCAGCCCTTGGCAACCACCATTCTACTCTGTTTCTATGAGTTGGCCAATTTAGATTCCTCATCCAAGTGAAACTACACACTATTTGTCTTCTGCCTGGCTTATTTCACTTAATAAAATGCCCTCCAGTTTCCTCCATGTTGTTGTGAATGGCAGAATTTCCTTCTTTAAGACTCAATAATCTTCCACTGTTTGTAGAGACCACATTTCCTTTATCCATTCGTCTCTTGAACATTTTCCAGGATAGATCATGTGTTAGGCCAAAGCTGTGTTTTAAACAGGGGAGAATTGGTAGGGAAGGAACCCAGGTTCACCCGCAGGAGAGCAGGTCACTAAAATATGTCTCAGTACTAAATACTGAACTAGTTCTATAATCAACATGGATGAAAACCGCATATAAAATACTGAGTAAAAATGTTAGCTGATGAAGGCATTATACAGTATGCTATTTATCTAAGTTTTAAAGGCCTCCATAAATACTATGTATTGTTTATAGTCAAATACCACACAGTCAGAGAATAATGTGGGGATGGGAATTTTATACTGCAAGGTCATAGTGATAAAAATTCGGAAGATACAGGCAAGGGAAAGAAAAGGAGCCTTAGCTGCTTCTGCAATTTTATTTCTCATTTTTCTAAAAATTTTGGCATAGCTTTGGTAATATTTATGTTATTTTTGTATCATTCTGTATGTATTGAATATTTTTCAAAGCTTGGATGGCATGCAGTGAACTAGAGGTGCCCTGGTAATTTTTAACTATTAAGTTGTCAAAGGTCAGGCTCCGGGGTGAAATAAGAGGTTTTATGCAACTACTGCCAGTCATTCACCGCAGGAGAACAAATATTCATCTTTGCGAGACCAAGAGGTCTCTGAACATTATTCCCACGGGAACAGCTCTCGAGGAAGATCTGCCATCTTCTCCTGGAATATTTTATCAAAGACTTCAGCTTGGGTCACCGTGAAGTGATTTTTCCAGTCCCCAGCAATGCCTGACAAACATAAAACAGAGACTCAGATCAGATGTCGGGACATGTCTCAAGACCCTAACACATCTCCTTCGTAGCAGGTCATGCGGGGGCCTTTTCCTGCCTGCAGCCACACCCACCCCTGTCTGGAAACGAGCTCCTATACTCTCCTCTCTCCCAGCCTACCGTGCACACACACCATTCACAGAGCAATAATGCAGCTCTATGTTCTGATGCGTCTAGAACCTGGCCACTTTTCATCACCTCTGTTTCTACCCCCTTGGGGTATTCTACTCCCTTGGCCCAAGCCAACATCATTTCTCACCTGGAGTATGGTATTAGACTTCTAATCAGTCTCTCTGTTTTGGATCTTTCCCCTTTGTAAGTTATTCGCAGCATGGCGGCCATCTTGACTTCTTGAGAAACAAGATGACCTGGTTCTAGATCATGTCACTTCCTGCTCAGATTCTCCAAGGACCTTGGGGTCACTCAGAGAAAGTGCTTATGGCTTCCCCACAGCTTCAGGTGACTCAGTCCCTTCTCATTTCACTGATTTCACCTTTTAGGACCATCCACTTGCTCACTCAGCTCCAGCGTGTTGAGTGTTCTGAGGGGGCCTCAAACATGCGAGGCACCCCTGTCTTCTCAGACTATTTGCAGTTCATATTCCTTCTCCCTGGAATGCCGTCCCCCAGATACACCCATGTCTTGCCCGTTGGCTTCTTTCAAGTCTTCACTCCAATGCAATTTTCCCAGCATGCTTCTCTCCCACCCTCAACCCCATTGGGAACCGTCTGTCCCCATCCCTGCTTCACATTTCACTTCCTAACACTTATCACGTATGACGTGCTCTCTGTTTTTCCTTTCTGTGTGTGTGTGAGTGTGTGTGTGTGTGTGTGTGTGTGTGTCTGTATGGTATGTATCTCCGTCTGTGTTTTAGAAAGTCGCAAACTTTTCTCTCTAAATCACCAAAGACTTAGAGTTTCAGAGTCATAGACACATGGCATGTACTCAAATATTTGCTGAAAGGATGTCTAAAAGAATCAGGGATGTACTATTATCACATCCATTTCACAGATGAGGAAAAAGAGACCATGAGGGATCACACAGTTAGAACGTGATGGATGTGGATTTGAAGCAAAAGATTTTGACACGAGCAGCCGTACTCTTAACTTATGATTATATTATTATTTTGCGTATCATATAAATTAATACCTAGGCATTATATTAATATGTTAACACAATCAATACATTAGTTAAATTAACATACAACAGAATATGATATAATTATATGTAAATTAGTGATATATATTATATACTTCTGTGATAGAAATAATATAGCAGAATGTCTAATAAATAATTGCTACCCATAAACATCTGCTGTCATTCTTGTGCTCATCGTCTTCATCTTTAGAACAATTTTTACTATAATTGATTTCTTACGCTCTTGTGTTCTCCATAGCACACCTGACTTTTAAAAAGCCAGAAACCAGCCCTTGAGGTCCCTGAATCTCTGTAAATTCACTATGGCTGCCCCACATGAAACATCAGATGAGAGAACGTTTCTGTGCAGGCGAACCTGAGAAATCAAACAAGCTGTCTGCTTCCAAAATGCAATGGTAGAAAAGGCACGGGGAGATTGTCCCATCCCACAAGGGGGGAATCAGAAAGAAAGGGATTGTGGGTCCCAAGCCAATCCAAACCTAGCAGGTCTTGGTCCATTAAATGAAAAAAAATTAATTAAAGTGTAGTTGGCATACAATATTATATTTGTTTCAGGTGCAAGACATACTGGTTCAGCTGTTTCATATACCTTACAGTGTGATCACGATAAGTATAGTAACTCTCTAGATTTTTTAAAGAAGATTTTAGTTATTTATTCTTAGAAAGAGGGGAAGGAGAGGGAGAAAAACATCAACGTGCGGGAGATCCATCACTTGCCTTCCGTTGCCTCTCACACACTCCCAACTGGAGCCTGACTTGGCCCGCAACCCAGGCGTGTGCCCTGACTGGGAGTTGAACCAGCGGCCTTCCAGTCTGCAGGCCCACACTCAACCCACTGAGCCACACCAGCCGGGGCTCCCTCTAGATTTTAAGGATTGAGAATTCGCCTCTTTGTCTCGATGCTCTGACCACCTGGCCCACTGGGGTGACGGCCCGCATCCCCTCCGCCCTGGGTGGCAGCCCCCACTGATTCGAGGCCTTTTGAATCATTTACGCTCTTCCTTCCCTGGATCACCCTGGACTGTAGGGCTCTGGGAAAATGGGCTCCTCCTGTCCCACGCAGTGCAATTCATCTTTAGCCCAGGGGTATGGACATGATTAATTATTCACCACAGTGTCTGATAGCAAGGCAGGCTGTCAGCAAAGTGAAAGTCTGTCCTCTTTTTTCCAGCTGAGTCATTGTTTATACACGTCTTTGTGCAGGCCAGTTCTCTGCGCTAACTCAGCAACGGGACAGCCCCAACACGACCGTCCCCACTCCTGCCCTCGCCTGCCTGGTTGAGCCCGGCTGGCAGGCGGGCAGGCGTAGCAAATTCACCTGGGCACCGCTTGTAGAGTGGATACCCCTGTGCCACGATCAGAGGACAGAGGATCTGAATGCCCTGCATAAGTCGGGTGACCATTCCAGGTCTAATCAACCTCCTCCAAGCGTCTGCAGGCCACGTCAGTACTCGGAAGAGAGACCCCCTGATGAGAGCGTGTGAGGAGTTCTCTGGGGGATGAGCGGTTAGAGCTGGCAAGTTCAAACACTCCCTAGTCCCAGCTGGCCGCACCCTGCTGTGAGCCCGAGGATGCGGTCTGCATCCTCTGGCGCGTTCTGAAGGGGGCCATTTTCATTTACCTTTTCGCATAAGTGGTCCTTCTAAAAGCCACTTGGGCAGGAGAGTGTAATTGGACATCTTGTTTTCCTTCATGATTTGGAAGGAGGAGTTCCGGAGGACTGAGTTCATTTCCTCCGGTTGTAACGTCTTGCCCAGGAAGCGGCAGATCTTCTGTAGAGCGCTTCTTGTGTCCTGGAAGGTGAACACGCCAGCGAGAGGACGGGAGAGGGAAAGAACGTGGACAAGGAGACGAGAAGGAGGGAATGGCAGGAGGAGGCGCAGGAGGGAGAGGAGGAGAGGGGGAGCACAGAAGTGAGGAGTGTTGAGTTGGATATGACCAGGAGGAGGGAAGGGAGGAAGGTAAAAAGAAAGGGCACAACTCTGTAAGAGATGGAGGCCACGTGAATTTCCCAGTGTAACTGAATTCAGGACACCTTACCAGTAGAATACGGGATGTGGGTTTTCTAATGAGACTTTCAGAAAGGCTTCTAGACACTTATGAAGAGGATTGAGCAAGCAGAGGCTAAGGGAGGACTTGACAAAGACTTAAGGGATTGATTTCAAATCCTGACTGTGCCATCAAATAATGCTGTTTGCCAGAACTAACATTTGAATACCACAGAGTGTTACAGGATTTTTAAAAAGATTATATCTTATTGATTATGCTATTACAATTGTCCTGATTTCCCCCCCTTTGCCCTCCTCCACCCAGCGCCCCCCACTCCTTCAGGCAATAACCCCACCATTGTTCATGTCCACGGGCCATGTGCATAAGTTCTTTGGCTACGCCGTTTCCTATCCTGTACTTTACATCCCCATGGCTATTCTGTAACTCCCTACTTGTACTTCTTAACGCTCTCGCCTCTTCGCTCATTCTCCCCCTCCTCCCTCCCAGCTGCCAGCCTTCTGGTAACTAACTTCTTTTCACTTGCTTTCAAGAGTCTTTCTTTGTTTTTAACCTTTGGTTTTTTAATAATGATGTGTCTTGCAGGGGGTCTCTTCGCATCCATCATAATTGGGACTCTTGTGCTTCTGGGGCCTGCATGTCTATTTCCTTTGCCAAATTAGGGAAGTTCTCTTCCACTATTTTTTTCAGCTAGGTCTTCAATTTCTTGCTCTTTCTCTTCTCCTTCTGGCATCCCTATGAGACAAAGGTTGACTTCTTAAAGTTTTCCCAGAGGCTGTTTATACTATCCTCATTTTTTTAGATTCTTTTTTCTTCTTCTTGTTATGTGTGGTTGCTTTTTTGCTTCCTTATGTTCCAAATCATTGATTTGATTCTTGGCTTCATCCATTTTACTGTTATTTCTCTGTAAATTTTTCTTTATTTTAATCAGTGTAGCTTCCGTTCCTGACTGGATCTTTTTTATGCTGCTGAGGTCCTTGCTAAGTTCCTTGAACATCATTATAAACAGAGTTTTAAACATCGCATCTAATAGATTGCTTATCTCCATTTTGTTTAACTCTTTTTCTGGAGTTTTGATCTGTTCTTTCATTTGGGCCATGTTTCTTTGTCTCCTTGTTTTGGCAGCCTCCCTGTGTTTGTCTCTATGTATTAGGTAAAGCTGCTTTGACTCCATGTCTTGGAAGTGTGGCTTTAACACAATAGGTGTCTTGTAGGGTCCAGTGGCACAGCCTCCCCTATCACCTAAGTTGGGTACTCGAGGTGCGCCCTTCATGTGGGCTGAGTACACCCTCCTCTTGTAGTTGAGCCTTGGTCCCATTGGCAGGCCAATGGGAGGGATTTACCCGGGCCAGTCAGCTGCAAGGACTGGCTGTGACCACTGACCCCCAGCCTCCGCCCTCCGTGGAGGACCAGCTGTGCAGGGGCAGGGCGGTGGTGCTCCAGCGTGGTCTGGAGCTGTCCGCTGGGTGTGCTGGCCCTGGGGTTTCCTGGGTGCTGCAGGCCAAGGTCAGCCCCCACCTGTATTTTGCCCGGGGCCAACCTGCCTGGGCTGTAAAACAATCTCAAATAGCTGCTACTTGTCCTGGGCTTGGAGATACCCAGGTGAAGCCAAGCTGCAACTCTAATCTGGCTGCTGCTAGGGCTCACTGAAGCCAGCCATTGCCTGCTTAATAGGACTTAGGAGCCAAGACCAGTGATTCTTATGACAAAGCAGCTTGGGTGGCCCCTAAGTTGAGTGGGGCAGAGCCTCTGGGGATCTCCAAGGTGGGTCACACAGTGTTAGCCCGGTTGATGGAGTCTCAGATATGGCGCCAGCCTACCAGCTCTGTGGGGGAAGGGCTCAGCAAAGGGACAATGGCCTCTGCTTGCCCCAGTGCCAGGCACTTCGGTCTCTCCCTGTGTACCACTGGTGCCCTTCAAGCTCCCACCCCAGCTGGAGCTCAGGGGGCTCGGATCTGAGCAAGTGAGTCCAGGCAAGTCTGAGCAAGTGAGTCTTTAAGAGGAACTGCTTGGGGCTCCAGCAGCCTCCTCCATTGGCTCAATCCCTGCTAGGAGTTGTGGGGACTTATCTTCCTGGCCCTGGAACCCTGGGCTGGGCGGCCTGGTGTGGGTCTGGGACTCTTTGCTCCTGAGATATCCCTCCTGAATTTTTACCCACGTGGGTGCGGGGCCAGCCTGTTCTGCATGCGTGCCCCCTCCTACTAGCCTGGGTGGATGTGGTGTCTTCAATTCCATAGTTGTCAGACTTCCATTCAACTTAGTTTCCTAGTTGTCCAAGATCTTCTTATATATTATTTCAATAATCAGAACTTGGTACATGGTACTGGAAGATTATTATCATTAAAAATGGATTTTAATAACATTTTGCTTTGAATAATAGACCTTCCTCTTGGAGCTACAGTGATTTAAAATTTTTCTTCATTCCATGAGCCAACATGCTATAACAGGAAAAAAAAAAAAAAAAAAAAGAAAAGAAAAGAAAAGAAAGAAAAAGGCACAACTGTAGCCATTACTACAATAAAAGTTCACTTTGTGGCTTGAAAGTATAATTCCAGGAAAGTACGGAAGCGTGCACCTGAAGCTGCTAAACTAGTTCCAAAGGACTTCTGGGTAAAAATGAGATTCATGTGGAAAACAGAAGATTGGGCAGAAGTACCCAGATGATGGAGAGCAACGTTTGTCAGGTAGAAGCAAACGCCTGTATTTATGTCCTTTTCTCTTTTCTCCAAGATCCCACTAACAGGCAAAGGTCTTCTTTGAACGGCTCACTCTTGTCGGTTTGAGCTTCACCTGACAGCGCCCCCTGCCGTCACGGGAGAGTCCAGTCCTGGGCCTGCCAGAGCAACTCTGCCGATTGATTTCACGACTTCTTCTTCCTTCTCTCAGCCAGGTTGGGCTGCCAGGCAGTTGGGCACATCTCTGGAACCAAACTTGGCTTCTTCCCAGTCCCTCCTTGTCCCTCAGTCCCCTCCCAGCACGAGGCTATCAGTGGCACCGCGTGTCCTACCCCTAGAAATTTTAGAACCAGTTGCCAGTGTGAGTATAAGTCGCTGTGCTCTGTCTCGATGCACAAAAATAAAGCCCTTAAGCTATGAAGTGAAACAAAGAAAAACACATGACGGAAGAGAACACGGGGCTGGGGGTGCCGACCAGGAGCAGGACAACGAAGCCTGGGGAGCTCCTCTCATTTCTAGGGACCCTCCATGGGACTAAACTCCCACTGAGAAGGAAAAGAGACACAGAGTTGTGGACGGAAGTAGGGCGAGTGCGGGCGGCGTTGAGACGGTGTGCTGACCGCAAGAACAAGAGTTACCTGCTTTAGCTCTTCGTAACTCACTATCAAGAAGTTCTCCTTCCCTTTCATGGACATCCAGCCACGAACGTGGTCGAACCACGATCCAAATGCCACTGCAGGGGAGAAGCAGAGAGAGGAGCGAGTTACAGGCTCTGTGAAAGCAGGGACCCCTCTGTCATGTTCACGCTTGTGGGCTCGCCCGCTCAGGCGATGCCCGGCACGTTTACAGCTGTCATAGCTATTTGCTGCATGAGTGAGTGAGTGGAGAGATGGAAGATTGTTACCCAGCCTCAGGCCTTTACCTTGAATGGGCAGGGTTCATTAGCGGGAGGCTCTGCACCCAGTCGCCAGGGTCTCCGAGGAGATCTTGTCAGAGAGCCACGTGGCCTGAGGAATGGGGCTCTTGCTGCCCCGAATCCGTGCAACGTTTAGAATTTTGGGTTGCTCATTGCCCTTGACATTTTTCTGTCTTTTTGCTTTCACTGTTGCTATCGTAATTATCGTTCCTTTGGAAATGATCTGCCTTTCCTCTGTTTAAGATTTTCTTTCTGCCCTGGCTAGTGTGGCTCAGTGGATTGGGCACCGGCCCACGAACCAAAGGATCACCGGTTCGATTCCCAGTTGGGGCACAGGCCTGGGTTGCAGGCCAAGCCCCTCAGTGGGGGCACTAGAGAGGCAACCACACAGTGATGTTTCTCTCCTTCTCTTCCTCCCTTTCCCTCTCTAACAAATAAAAAGATTTTCTTTCTGTTTTTTTCCCTCCCTCTACTGCAGCTTTCCTAGAGACCAGGGGAATGTTTATTTGTAATAAATCTTTGTGAGGCTAGGTGTGGTTCATCAACCTGAGATTTCATCCGTCAAGGAAACTCTCAGGTGCGCCTCCTTGGAAACTGCCCTTCCCTATACGGGTGTCCCACCTGCGGCCCGCGGGCCACATGCGGACCCGGATGGCCATGGATGCGGCCCAATGCAACATCGTAAATTTACTTAAAACATGAGATTTTTTTTGTGATACGTGTCGCAACGTATTTAATGTGTGGCCCAAGACAACTCTTCTTCCAGTGCGGCCCAGAGACGCCAAAAGGTTGGACACCGCTGCGTGATCTCCACGGAAGGTGAGCCTTTCCACCCCATCCTCTGTGTCTTAATTATTTTATAGTGTTTGATGGCTGTCTGCCCTGCCCAAGGCCTTTCTGACCACATAGGGTAGCGGGGAATTCTACTCAGTTAATCTATCACTCAAAAATGGGCACGAAGGAAGGAGGTTTTGAGGCAAAACACTGAGGGAATTTGCCCTTTTTGTCACAAGAGAACTAGTTTAAGCTACACTTGATGAACACATAAAGTGGATCCAGGGGGTCAAGAAAGAAAGAAATGGGAAACAGTTTTAAATCTTGAAATAAAATCTTGAAACAAACCAAATATAGAAGCACGGCATAGCAAAACTTATAAGAGGCCGCCAAAGCAGTTCTAGGAGGGAAGTTCAGATGACAAATTTCTGCATCAAGAGAAAGGAAGATCTCAAATAAACAACCCAATTTTATGCGGCAAGTAGGAAATAACAAAGATCAGAGAAGAAAAAAGTAGGCTAGAAAACATTAGAATAAATTAACAAAAACCAGAGTTGGTTTTTAAAAAAGATAAACAAAATTGACAAACCTTTAGTTAGACTAAGAAGAACAGAGCAGATGCAAATAAAGAAGAGGAGAGATTCCAACCGATGCCACATAAGCATAAAGGATTATAAGTGACTACCATGGACAGCTACATACCCAATAAGTGGATAACCAGGAGGAAATGGATGAACTCCTAGAAATTTATCATACAACCTACCAAGGCTGAATCATGAAAAGGTAGAAAATTTGAATAGCCCAATAACAAGTAAGGAGACTGAATCAGTCATCAAAATCTCCCAACAAAGAAAAGCCCAGGACCAGATGGTTTCCTGGTCAATTCTATAAAATATTAAAGGAAGAATTAATGTCCATTCTTCTCAAACTTCAAAAAAGAATCGAAGGGGGCCCTGACTGATGTGGCTCCGTGGATTGAGTGCCAGCCTGCAAACCAGAAAGTTGCTGGTTCAATTCCCAGTCAGGGCACATGCCTGAGCTTCAGGCCAGGTCCCCAGTTGGGGGTGCGCAAGGGGCAACTGATCAATGTAACTCTTGCACATTGATGTTTCTTTCCCTCTTTCTCCCTCCCTTCCCCTCTCTCTAAAAATAAATAAATAACATTTTTAAATAAAATTGAAGAGGGGAGAATACTCTCAAACTCATTTTATGAGGTTGGCATCACCCTGACACCTAAGCCAGATGAGGACACTCTAAGGAAAGAAAACTACACACCAATATCCCTGATGGATATAAATGTAAAAAACTTCAACAAAATATTAGCAACCTGAATACAAGAGCATATTGAAAGGATTATACACCATGAAATGTACTTCAATATTGTCCCAGAGCCTTGGCTAATGAGCTAAGAGGAAAAAAAAATAGAGACAATATATATGTATTAGAAATTACGCTAACCCTGGCTGGTGTGGCTCAGTGGGTTGGGCTTTGTCCTGCAAACCAAAAGGCCTCAGGTTTGATTCCTGGTCAGGGCACATGCCTGGGGTGCAGGCCAGGTCCCTGGTTAGGGGGCGTGCGAGAGGAAACAGACTGATGTTTCTCTCTTGCATAGATGTTCCTCTCCCTCTACTTCTCCTTCCCTCCCCCTTCTCTCTTAAAAAATTTAATTAATATAATAGTTATTACTTGAACGTTATATTTATACTTCCTAGAGAATCAAGGAGAACCTGCAGGGCAGCAATTCGATTTAAGAAGAGGCGGCATTCGGATTAGTGAAATCCCAATCAACATTCAGAATCACTCACATTCCTGCCAACCAGGTACAAAACAACTGGAAAATGGAATTTAAAGATGCCATTAATCTAAGAAGAAATGCAATACATCTGGAAAAAAGTTTAAGCTTTTCATTTAAATAATTATACGAGATCATTTAAGACGTCTGAAAAGCTCTAGATAAAGGGCAAAGATAAACAAAAGGACATACCTATAAGTGAAGAGATAAACTCTGTAATACACGCCATTTCTCCACTGCTTATTCTGTATAATTATCACAATAAAAGTCATAAAAATATCAACAATAACAAGTGTCACCGATAACAGGTGCACTCATATGCTGTGGGTGGGAAATTTATAGCAATAAACGCCTACGTTGTGGGGATGCAAACTGATACAATCGCTCTGGAAAACAGTTTAATATCTCTTAAAGGGGAAACCTCGTATTCGCTCTGCCTCAGCAGCTCCACACTCAGGTTTACACACCAGAAAGGAATCCATGCCCATGTGCACCCGACGTACATTATTCCCAGTAGCCTTCAGCTCAAAATGTCTCATTTAGTTTTTAACTCTGGACTCACAAAATGTTGGGAGAAGCATTTGACCAAAAAACGAATGGCTTCAGTGATGCTTGCAAACAGCGGTTGCAGTTCATTCCTTTGGATTTTCCCCTCGGCCAAAGCTCACCCAGCGCTGCCGCCTGGGGGTGGGGGAGAGGGAGCGGACAAAGGACCACACAGGCCACCAAAGCGCGCTTGGTGCAGGAAGTAGCGCGGGGTCTTTTGCACAGGGAATTCTAGGATTCAGGTTTCCCAGAGCCCGGGTGATGCAAGGGCCGCAAGCTCCAGGAGCCCCTTAGACTCTTCCCTTTGTTGGGAGGAGAGATATCAAGAGCAGGCGAGCCCCTCGGGCTTGGCCATCATGCATCGTCCAGAGCAGGGCCTCTGCTTCCTGCGTCTAAGGACACTACTTCCTGGGCCTGAAGTTCCCAAGAGTTTGGAGAATCTTCTACAGGGTTGCAGACAACTCCGGATGTTGGAATTAGTGGATGACAATAAGGATTTTGGTGTTGACTGGATAAGAGAGCCCTGTGGGTTGAGTCTTAAAATGCAGATAAGCAAGAGATCGCGATAGTGGCAGGTCTTCAGGGTATGCCTTTATCAGCCGCCACTATCAGTCGGACATTCCTGATTCCCGGCACAGCGGAAGCACCGTTCAGACTACTTTCTACACCAAAGGCCAGATCAAAAACAGACTGAGGGGCTGTTCTCTCCGCGTCTGGCTCCCACCCTAGGGTTTCACCTGTTGCCTTTTTTCCTGAAAGAGGAACCTGGAGCAAAGCCGGACTTAGAACTGTAGGGTTCAGCCAGGATCAGCTCCATACGAAACACCTGTGGGCTTTGAACATTGAACTTGACGCGGTGGGCAAACAATTCAGAGGCTGTGAACTTGTCCGTGCCTTGCAAGGGATTGCCACAGCAGAGCCTAGAAGGTCCAAAGGGCGCGTGGCAAGGACACCACCGAGTCCACTGCATTAATCTCGGTGGGATGTAACAGCGACTCTGGTTAATAAAGCACCGATGGAAGGGATGGCAAATAAATACCCATTATTTAACAAAAGTGCTTACGATGTGGCAAACACCACTCTAGGACCCTGGGTCAACAGGGAGCCAGTCAAAGAGCTCACATTTTAGGGGAGACACGGGGAATAAACGCGCAATTAGAATACACGCTCATTGGTGATGCGTACTGAGGCGGAAAAAGATAATGCCAGGAAATGGGGAGGGGCGCTAGTTTACATAGTGTTGAAAAGGAAGACTTCTCTAAGTATCAAGACATTTTAGCAGAGACCAGGATGAAGACGTTAATCAAGGTTGTGGGATTTAGATAAAGGGAAGAGGCGGGGGCACAGGGAGGCGGGTCGGGGAAGAGATGGCACTTGGAAATGTCAGACTCCTGCCGGCCCTTGGAAGAGGGGTTGTTCTATTTATTGACTAAGGTAGGTAGGCGGTAGGGACAGTTTGGTGCCTGGGGACAACGTGTTCGACCTTGAACACACTGCATTAGAGGGACCTGTGGCTCTCTCTTGTGCTGCTGTCCTTGGCTTTTGAGAAACAGGTCTGAAGCCAGGGAGACCTGTCACAGCAGAACTAGGGGACCTGTCCTATAATTTTGGGAAAATTTGCAAAAGTTCAAGTGTCTGGAAAGCCTAGAAACTCTGCACAATTAAAAGGATAGCGATCCGACTGTAACGCATGCATTTTTGAGACAGAATGGACAAGAGGATAAAGGGAGATTTACGAGGATGCATCTAAAAAAATGGTGGCGATGCCCCAGGCGGCAGTTCAGGTAGTTAGAACATCACCCGAATGTGCCAAGGTTGTGAGTTCGATCCCTGGTCAGGGCACACACAAGAGGCAACCAACAAATGCATCAATAAGTGGAACAAAAAATCATCTCTCTCTCTCTCAAAATCAAATAAAAAATAAATAAATAAATGAAATCATAAATAAGTAAATGGTGGCAAATCAGGATAGCACTGTCCACGAGGCCAATGGAAAGGTGACTTCCAGAAAGCCACAGATTAAGAGCGTTGAGGAGAAGAATGTGCCTGCTCTGTGATTGTATCGGGCAGCTAGGATGGTTTGCAATGGGACCAGCTGAAAGGCTGGCTGGGTCCTGCCGATCTGCGAGAGTCTGTGGAATTAGAAACGGTGGGTTCCAGTGGGGATGGGCCGTCTATCCACAGGTGAGGGAGATGTGGAGGAAGCAGCCTGGGTACGGGGTGAGGTCTGAGGGACGAGGCTGACGATCCTCCTGCCGCCATGTTTTACCCACACTCACCATTTCCTTGGATGAACCATTCGAAATACTGCTTCAGTGACTCCGGTTTCTTAACAAGATTGGAAATAGTCCAGAAAAAATAACCAGACACGAGAACGTCTCTGGGATTTCTGATGAGATAAATCACCTTAAAGAGAAAAATGAGAGGATGAAAGTTTTCCATCTTTCCTCACCTTGATAACAATGGAGCCCTGACTGGGGTCGCTGAATGGACTGAGCGCCAGCCTGCGAGCTGAGGGGTCACTGGCTTGACTCCCGGTCAGGGCACAGGCCTGGGCTGTGGGCCGGGTCCCCACTTGGTGGCGTGCGAGAGGCAACCGACTGATGTTTCTCTCACACATCAATGTTTCCCTCCCTCTCTTTCTCCCTCCCTTCCCCTCTCTCTAAAAATAAATAAATAAAATCTGTTTTAAAATGTTTATAAAATGAATAAATAAAACCTTTCAAAATAGGGAAAGAAGTCAATTCCTAGAATATGCCTATTAAATGTCAATGGATTCTTTTAATAAGTTAGTTATTGCATTCATTAATCAAATATATATTTTAAAGTTCCTATGAACTAGTCACTCAGATAATCCCAATAATATAACAAGGGAAGAGGACAGCATGTCCTTTCCTTTGGGGTTATTAGCGTCTACACACAATGGGAAGTGACCAGAAGGTTTTCTAAGGTGAGAGGTGTTGTATTAAGTACTATAGTTTAAAGATTACTAACAGGAGGAGGGCTAATAAATTATGTTATAGTCACAGCTACACAACAGACATTTATTTGTACAGTATGAGTCTGTATTTATGACGTTCAAGAACAAGCAGCCCCGCCCTGGCCAGGTGGCTCCGTTGGTCGGAGTGTTGCCCCATACACCTAAGGGTGGTTGGTTCAGCCCCTGGTCGGGGTGTGTACAGGAGGCAACCAACTGATGTTTCTCTCTCAGGTCAACATTTTCCTCTCTCTCTAAAAATCAATAAACATATTCTTGGGTTACAAAAAAAAGAAAGAAAGAAAGAAAGAAAGAAAGAAAGAAAGAAAGAAAGAAAGAAAGAAAGAAAGAAAGGATGAGCAAAACGGATCTATAGAGTTAGAAGTCAGTGGAGTGGTCCCCTCTGTGGATGAGCATTGACTGGGAAGGTGCAGAGGGAGTTTTGTGCAGGAGCAAAAATATTCTAAATCAGCATCTGGAAGGTAGCTGCCCAGCTGCATAAACATGTGAAGATTTGACACTCTAATACTCCAGATTAGTGCGAACACACACACACCCTCGCAAGAACCTTGACATTTGAATATCGAAGTTATACCCTGGACTCTGCACCAATTTTCATGATTTCAGGCTTCAACTCTCTCTAGGCCTCAGTTTCCCCATGCAGGGATTCAACAAACACTGAGGAATCCCTATGTGAATATGTTTAACACTATATAAGGTGTGTTATAAATAAGCTTGAGAATTGATGGGTTAAAAAAACCCTTCATTTTCTTTATCCAATCATCTGTTGAAGGACATTTAGGTTGCTTCCATACCTTTTTATTTTTAAAATATTTTATTTATTTTATTTTTAGAGAGGGGAAGGGGGGAAGGAAGTGAGGGAGAGAAACGTCAATGTGTGGTTGCCTGTCGTGTGCCCCCTACTGGGGACCTGGCCTGCAACCCAGGCCTGTGCCCTGACTGGGAATCGAACCAGTGACCCTTTGGTCCACAGACTGGGGCTGAACCCACTGACCCGCACCAGCCAGGGCAGGTTGCTTCCATATCTTAGCTATTATAAATAATGCTGCAATGAACATAGTGATGTGCATGTCTTTTAAAATTAGTGTTTTGGATTTCTTTGGGATGTACAGTACAGCTTAGGGAATCTAGTCAAAATATTATAGTAACTACGTACGGTGCCATGTGGGTACCAGATTTATTGGGGCATCACTTCATAAATTATACAAATGTCCAACCACTATGCTGTACACCTGAAACTAATGTAATATTGAATGCCAACTGTAACTGAAAAAAAGACCTTATTGTACTGTGACACACTGTGACATTTCCAAGTGAAGAGGATATTATTCTAAGCTTGGCAATCTAATTTAAGCATAAAACATTTTTTAAAAATCGCAAACCAATTAACACCTTCCAGAAAAGTGTTTTTCCTAGACATCATCTAAGACATGCTAAGTGTTGGATTTCCGCGATCCCTTCTGGTGATGACCCATGAGAAACTCGCGTGGCTGCTAAGCTCAACAGACAGATCCAGAAAGACATAGTGGTTAGTAAAACCAGTCATGATGCTGGAGCAATCACTCTGGATTTAGGATTGATTTACGAATTTTCTGCTTCCCAAATGGTCAGCTCTACGCCTGCTGCTTTTACCTGAGTGGTAGGAGGCATTTATATAATTAAGATGGGCTAATTATTTTTTACAGCAACAAAACAGGGGTTATCTAATATGTAACACAGTTATAAGTTCTGCTTGGGTTTAAAATGTGGTTTTCTAAGATTCTGGCGCTACCATTTTGCTTTGCTTCTGGTTTGGACCGTGGCATTGCCAAGTGCAGAATCTCAGGTCCCCACCCCTAGACCTACTACTGAATGAGACTGCACCTCACCCAGATCCCCTGGTAATTCCTAGGCAAGTTAAAAAACATTAATCACACATATCTTGACCATGGTGCACTGACCTTGGTCTTGGACTTGAAGAGAGACTTGGGGGAGAATTGGATGGGGACGTGGGAGGTGATGAGGCGTGGGCCTTCTTTATCTGTTATGACTTTATACCCGTGCGTGGTCTCTAACCAGGGTGAGCGTTCCCAAATGGGCGTTGATTGGATCCACGTGGTATCTCCCTTGGAGTGGATCAGGCAGAGAATTTCAATCAACCAGTTTGTTCCTGGATAAAGAAGAAAAAAGGATGGTCACTCATTTTTTAAATCTGACTTTTAAAAAATATCATGATGGCCCTGGCTGGCGCGGCTCAGTGGATTGAGTGTCGGCCTGCGAACGAAAAGGGTCACCGGTTCGACTCCCAGTCAGGCACGTGCCTGGGTTGCAGTAGGGGACGCGTGAGAGGCAACCACACACTGATGGTTCTCTCTCCCCTTTCCCTTCTCTAAACATAAATAAATAAAATCTCTAAAAAAATCATGATAAAATATAACATAAGCTATACCTTCTTAACCATTTTTGAGCCTACAGTCCAGTGGTGTTAAGTATATTCACATTGCTGTGCATCCAATCTCCAGAACCTTTACATTTGGTAAATCTGAAACTCTACACCCATTAAATAACAGCTCTCCATTTTTCCCTCCCCCCAGTCCCTGGCAACCTCCAGCCTGTTTTTCTTTTAGTGTTTGATGACCCTACACAGCTCATAGAAGTGGATCAGATGGTATTTCTCCCTCTGTGACTGGTGCATTTCATTAGCATAATATACTCAGAGTTCATCCATGTTGTACACATGTCAGAACTTGGTTCCTTTTAAGGTTGAATAACATTCCATTACATGTACGTACCACATTTTGGTGATCCATTCGTCTGTCAACGGACTTCTGGGTTGCCTCCCGCTTTGGGCTATTTGCCTACACCCGTTGCCCTTGACCTTTCACTGCCGGGCCTCTTCCAGCATCTCCAGCCTCAGTCCTTGCCCAGCATGCAGTCCCTTCCTCTCCCCGCGCCCCTCCCAGGGACACCGCGCTCGGCCCGGGAGTCCCTTGGCTGGGCCAGGATCTTTCCCAATTCCTGCCCGTTGTCTGTGCTGATACCTTTACTGAAGATACCCCTTTTCACTAAATAGTTTCACATTCTTTTTTTTTCATCTCAATTTAGATGCTTTTCTTATCTACTCCTTATGTTTTGGCTCCGATAGATGTGTTTTATTCGCTCCCGCCTCCCAGTTTCATTCAGATATACCAGACAATTGAAAATTGTACATATTTAAAGAGTACAATGCGATGATTCGGTGTACACACACACACACACACACACACATGCACACACACGTACGCGCGCACACATACATGTTGTGACATGTTTACCACAATCAAGCTGGTTAACAGTCAAGAATCAAGCCAGATCCATCATCTCACCTGATCGCTCTCTTCCCTATTTTTTCTATGAGGACTTCGCTGATCATCACCTTCCTTTCTCCCTGCAAACACCTGAATCTGCCTTAGGATTTGCTTTTCTTTCTTTTTTTTTTTTTTTAAGATTTTATTTATTTATTTTTAGAGAGAGGTGAAAGGAGGGAGAAAAAGGAGGGGAGAAACACCCATGCATGGCTGCCTCTCACACACCCCGCACCGGGGACCCGGCCCACAACCCAGGCCCGTGCCCTGACCGGGAACCGAACCAGTGAGCCCTTGCTTTGCAGGCCAGCGCTCAATCCACTGAGCCACACCAGCCAGGGCAGGATTTGCTCTTATGGGCTCCCTAGTACCTTCGATTACCGCCCCCCGCCCTGAGTCCTCATCGTACTGTGTAACTGCTTGGCTAACTCCTTTTCTCTGAATGCAGTTGGTAGTAGGGCGCAGCTTTAGTTCCCAAAGCCCTGAACATGGGCTGGCGCAGAGAAAGCTCGTGAATGGATGAGGGACGCAGCGACAGCCTGTCTCAGGGCCAGATCCACTCCGTTACCTGATTTGGGGAAAGACACTGTTAAGACATCTTCATCCTTAAACACAAAATTCTCCCGCATCGCTTTGAGATGCTCCAGCGTGTAACCCACGACAGGGAAAGGTATCCCTTCAAACCACATGTACCCGTCTGACATTGTGGTGAGCTCTTTGGACCTGGTGTTAGAGTTTCAGCTGCGGCCACTGCTAGAGGTTGTGACAGCTGCCAAGAGATCACCTTTTATAGTAAGGATAAAATAATCATTAATCTCGCCTGATTGGTCGAGGAGTTGCCTGCTGATAAAGAGAACAGATATTGTAACTCAGAGGTGATCACGAGGCTGATGATATTGAGCAACTGTGAAGAGAACATTCTGGGGTAATCTGACTTTGAATTCGTGGGAGGGAACCAGGCATTCAACAAGTCCAAGGATGTAGAAATGTGGGCAAATTAAAAATGTTCTTAATGAAATTTATTTTTAGAAGAGTTTTAGATACATAGAAAAATTGCGAAGATAGTATATCCTCATAATTTATACTTTATTCAGAATCCCCTAGTTTATACCTAATGTCAACTCTCTGTCCCAGGATCCCGTGCAGGACACCGTACTACATGGAGGCATCATGTCTCTTCAAGGCTCCTCTTGGCTTTTGAGGGAGAAAGACAAGAAACCAGAGGGCATCGAACAGTGTATTGACGGCCATGAAGGTGAAAGTGAAGGAACCTATAAAAACACATGGAGGAGCAGCTCACTAAGGTTTAGGAGACAGGGGAAGTTCTGAGAGGAGGTGATGTTTATTTACTTAAATCCTCACCCAAGGATATATTTTATTGATGTTGGGGGGGGGGGGAGAAAGAGAGAGAGGGAGAGAAAGAGAGAGAGAGAGAGAGACATTGATCGCTTGCCTCCCGTATATGCCCCGATTAAGGATCATACCCACATCCTTAAGAAAGAAAATTCAACCAAATCAGGAAAACAATACATGAACAAAACTCGAAGTTGAACAAAGAGCTAGAAATCATAAAAAAGAACCAAACAGGCATCCTGCAGCTGAAGAAGAATATAGTGAATGAGACGAAAAACAAAACACGACAGTGAGCATCGGCCTCCGAATGGGTCCAGCAGAGGAAAGAGTGCCTGAGTTAGGGGACGGGAGCTTCCAATTTATCCAGTCGAAGGAGAAACAAGTAAAAAGAATGACAAGGACTAAAGAAAGCCTGCATGTTGTATGGGGCAAATTTTAAAATTTTAAAAGCATCAAGGGAGCCCTGGCTGGGTGGTTAAGTTGGTTGGAGCATCGTCCCATACACCAAAGGGCTGTGGGTTTGATTCCTGGTCTGGACACATTCCTAGGTCGTGGGTTCAATCCCAGGGTGGGGTGTGTGCAGGAGGCAACGCATCGATATTTCTCTCTCTCTCTTCCCCTCTTCCTATCTCTCTAAAATCAAATAAGTATATCCTCAGGTGAGGATTAAAAAATAAAAATAAGAAAAAAAAAGCATCAAGAGAAACAAAGCTTATAAATTACAAGGGAACTCCCACAAGGCTACCAGTGGATTTCTCTGGAGAAACCTCACAGGCCAAGAGAAGGTGGGATGATATATTCAAATTGATGAATGAAATAAACTGCAGGTTTTAGGGACTGGGCTAAGCAAGTTCTTATCTCCACCACATTGAAAATCCATAATAGCAATTGTTAGTTCAACTAAGAACTCTCTATCTGGTAAAGTTATCCTTCAGAAGTGAAGGACAGTTAAAGAGTTTCCCAAGCAAGTAAAAACTGAAGGAGTTTACCACCACTAAACCTGCCACACAAGATATACTGGAAGTTCTCCAAGCGGAGACAAAAGGAGGCTAATTAGTAACATAAAAATACACAACCCATGGGTAAAGGCAAGTGTATAGTAAAATATGCTAATACTGTAATAGGGTGGTGTGTTATACACTTAGCTCTAGTATAAAGATTCAAGGACGACAAGCTATGGAAAAGCTGAGCTTTCAACTAAAGAATCAAATCCTTCTTCCTGTGAACAGTCCCTGAGCAGCTTTTACGGGCAGGGTATTATACCTTCAGTCCCTCTGTAATGAGTATTCAGGATTCTATCATCAGTCCAGGGCATTTGATGAATCTGCCCAGGGTTCTCATTTGTCTCCTTCACTCCTCATCTCTGAGTTAAAAATCTTGAGACAAGATTATCCCGAGTTACTCAGGTGGGACTTAAATCCAAGGACAGGTGTCTTCCTAAGAGAGAGAAGGGGAAAAGCCGCAGACGCACGGGGGAGAAGGTCACGTGGCGATGGAGGCAGGGATTGGAGGGGGTGCAGCCACATGCCAAGGAACGCCTGCAGCCACCAGGAGCTGGAAGAGACGAGGACGGACCCTCCCCTCGAGCCCTGTGAGGGAGCCGTGCGTGCTTACACCTTGATCTGGCCTCCTGGCCTCCATAACTGTCAACGAATAAATTTCTGCTGCTTTAAGCCACCAGGTGTGTGGCGATGTGTTACAGCTGCTTCGGAAACTGACACAGTGCCCTTTGACCCCATGCTTCGCAGCTCCTTCCGGGGCTACAGGTGTCCTCCTTGCCCTCCAGTGCCCCTCAGTTCCATTGTGCAAAGCCGAAGCTGACACCCCCAGAATCTCACATGATCGGGCTGGAGGTCGGGGCTTCCAGGCTGTTTAAGGCGCCAGGAAGGAAGGCCGCCCTCCGGGAACAGCGAGTTCTCAGCGCAGAATCCAGAACTTCGGTCCTGCGTGCTCCTCTGACCGCACGCGCAAAACCAGCACATGGTGGACCGACAAATAAAAGGGCTTCCAAAGTGAGAGGCAACAGGCATTTATTGGAGATCAAAGGCATGAAAAGCATAGCTATTTGGGAAGCACCGATGCAGGCAGAAGCCCCCAAAGTGCTGCGAATGGGAGACAAAAGTCACTGGGGCATTTGAGACCGAGGGAGGGGGAGCCGCTGCATCAGAAGCGGGAAGGCGTTTCTGTTAACACAGTGACGTTAATCCTACACGATGTTGTAAGTCCTCTGTCCAGTAGTCACCCGTCCCGGAGTCGTAATATCCGCTTCCTTGTTACCTTTGAAGAGAATGGTTTGCCTCAGGCCCAGTTCTAGGTCATTTCATCCAGTTTTACCTCTGGGTGAGCCACTCCCACTCCCTGTTCATGTGGCTCCATTTATATTGATCTTCCCCACACAAAACTATGGCACCTGAAAAAATTCCAGATAGTTTTGTATAGCTTTTTACTCCCACAGCCCCGTGCCAGCACCTGTAGGGTACGCGGACACCCCTCGGGGAGAGGCTGAGTGAGAGCCAGTGGCGGAGCGGGGAGCCAGTGGAACGGGGAAAGGCCTGAGGCGGTGCCCTGGGCGCGGGGCACGGTCCCCAGGGCACCGCGGGTGGGCTGTTAAAACGGTACCTGCACGTGGAGTCCCATCTCTGCCTTGAACAGAACGTTCGGGCCTCTGGGAGCCGGAACAAAGTATCAAACTGCGCTCCCTATCCCCATGGAGTTTAGGAGCATTCATAACAGCTCTCATCAAGAGGGAGAGAAACATCAACGTGGGAGAGATTCGTTAATCGGTTGCCTCTCATACGCCCCCATCTGGGGCCCTGGTCCGCAACCCAGGCATGTGCCCTGACTGGGAATTGAACCAGTGACCTTTTGGTTCTCAGGCCAGAACTCAATCCACTGAGCCACACCAGCCAGGGCATGACAGAGTTTTAGACCCAAAAGGCTATTTTGTGGTTGTTGCAGCAGATTTACAGCGACCCCACCTGCAGCACTGGGGAGCAGCTATGTGAATCTCTGGGAATCGTGGACCCCTGCGTTCTCACAAGGATCTTCCCACAATCCTCTGCTGCCTGCCACGGCCACGCCGTGTGCTCCCACACGCCTTCCTGCACCTTCTCAGTCCCGCTGGAGTCCCTGATGCGGTTGGGGGGACCCGCGTGCCCTTGGTGCGTTCTGCCCGCCCCCTCGCTGCTCACCGCCCCCAGGCTCACAGCGCAGGACTCAGCGCCCCGGGTGCGGCGAGAGAGGAATGGGCCGTCCCGGCGTGTCCTGCACAGCCGGGGAAGCCATGGCTCACTCACACGCTCTCCCTTTCCCCTTGAAGAGAAGTCACTGGCCTGAGAAGGTCTCTCCTGGCCCTCTGCTGTGCCATCTAGGGACAGGGCCACATGGATAAGGTCACACTGGTCCTCTTACCCTCTCCAACTTGCATTTTTTAAAACCCTCACAAGAGGACATGTTTATTGATTTTAGAGAGAGGGGAAGGGAGAGAGAGAAACATCAATGTGAGAGAGAATCACCGATCGGTTCCCTTTTGCACACGCCCCCGTCGGGGATCAAATCCACAACCCAGGCCTGTGCCCTGACGGGGGATGGAACCTGAGACCTTTCAGTTTATGGGACGATGCTCCCCCAAGTGAGCGACACTGGCCAGGGCTCCAAGCTCGTCATGTTTTGCTTCAATGCTGTGCTGGAACTTCCCTGCTGGACGCCAGGGCTCCCCCAAAGGCCGCCTTGCGTGGGGGTGACAGTCTCTCTCATTGTGCGCCAGGGGCCCCTGAGCCAAGGCCAAGAGGGGTTAGAGGCAGTTCACAGGCCATTACAACGTCCACAGCCACGACCCAGGACTGACGTCTGCCGCCCAGCGCACAGGTGGGCAAGGCTCCTTCCCTTGGCGTGCAGTGCTTGTGATCGAACTGCGGCTAAAGGGGGCCGTTGCTGAGTCCTCGGGGGTCCGGAGCTGTCTCTAGATCTTTAGTCAGGACCACAGTGGGCAAGTCAGCGCATGGGTGTGAGCCTGCCTTCCCCAAATGGCTCCCCTTGGCCTTGGGAATGGGGCTTCTTGGGCGTAACTCATAGCTTGAACTTCAGCCAAAAGGGAGACCTCATTGGCTCCAGTAACCAAATCTCAAAAACACCGTGCTGAGTGAAAGAAGTAAGACGCACAAGGTCATGTGGCGTATGATCCATTTATATAAAACATCCAGAAGAGGTCAGTCCACAGAAAGAGGAGCGGTTGGCAGGGGCTGGGAGGGTGGGGGGTTGGGGAGTGAGTGCTCAGCGGGTTGGGGGCGATGGTGAAAGCGCTTTGGATCTAGAGAGAGGTGGCGGTTGCACAATGTTGCGACTCTGCTAAATGCCACCGCATTGTTATCCTGAAAGTGGCTCATCGTATGTTATGAATTTTACCTCAAAAAACTGA